GAAGACGAGTCTCTGTGCAGCGCCGACGCGGCGGCGGCCTCGGTCTAGGATTGCTTCTTCGACTTCGAACAGGGCTTGAAAATCGCACGAAAACTCGCCAGGAATCCCGATTCCGCCCGCCGCCAGAGGAGAGGGATGAGACTCCATATTATTCAATTATCTTTTTAATTTTGAAATATAGGTAAAATTACATGTAAATTTTGCATACAATTTAAAATTAGAGTAGGTGGTAAGACATTAGCCTCCCTCCCACAATTACGACGATTCAAATCTGGTCCCACTCGTTCAAATTTATGGCTTCGCCACTGACCGTAGTTTAACAATAAGGATGTGAATAACTTAGATAAGTGTTGTGTTGTGTTTGTTTGTTTTTTTTAATTTTTTCCTTAGTATATTCTTTGTTTCTATTTTCACGAGTTAATTTGACATGTGTGCTATAATAGTGTTAAACTCTAAGATGATGGATTCGAGTATGGTGAACTCCATGATTTATTTATCTCTCTCGAATTTCTTGTTGTTTTGAATTCTTTATTTGTGGTGAATAGTCGATTCAAAGAGCTTGTTTTTGTTAGAATTTCATATTGGGAGATGTAGAGAAGGAAGAACTATAAAGACAATAAGACTTAGATGACAGAATCTTACTATATATTATGGTTGTTCAAAAGTTACTTATTGCCACATAAGCATTAGGAGAACTCACAAGTTGCCAAGGTGGACAATATTTTTGGAAACAAAAAATTGAGTTAATGATCAATTTATGGAGCTATCTCTCTCTTCTTTAATATTTTTTCTTTAATATTTTTTTCTTTGCATTATATGTATTAATCTATGTATGCAATAATAGACTAATGTTTGTAAAGTGACATCTCTCACATTTTTTAAATCGGAAACATATTATTACATTTTTAAGTCAATTTTCTACTCATTTATGCTAAAACTTAATAATAAGTTACATTTTAATGGAAAAATAGAAAAAAGCACACACATAAATAATAATATTTTATCCGATCAAACAAATGTAGAGATGGAAAGAGAGAAAACAGTGGTTTGACGATCAATCGACTTTCAAAAATGAACAATATTATTTTATATTTTTTTATATCAAACATTTTCTCATTTCTAATGTATACGTCTATCAAATATAGTAAGTATTATATAACCAAATATCTGGATAGAAACTTGACGATATACAAGAATTATATGATACATGTGAATGTTAAAGAAGTATTTGTAGATGATGTATGGTAAACATCACGTATCATCAACCACTGACCTAAGCATTGATGAAACAAAGGCTGACAATTTTTGTTTAATAGTTGAATGTATTTGAAAGTCTAATCCGAGCTATTGGGTTAAAAATTATAAATCTTTAATAATGATGAGTTCAACAAGGCAATTGTCTTGAGTTATTTGGTAGTACGGTAGTGAGCCTGTGACTGAATACCAAATTTCGGCAATAACAAAAATGTTCTGATATCAAAGTGTCAAAATATTAATATTTTACTTTGTAACATGAAGCAATTTGTATTTAGATAGAGTTATCCTAACCACAATTATTTTTTTCTTTCATATTCCACTGATCGAGCAAAGTTCGAAGGTATTAACTATGATTAAAAAGTAAATTAAACTCTTTACATATATTTAGATATTAACAATAGATGTGTCTACAATACATCCGTGAATCTATATGTATGCGAAATGTTATAATGGTTGTATAAATTTTAAAATAATTAATAAAAAATTAACTTTTTAGACAAATATAAATTAATTGTTCAAACGATACGTCGTTTTAAATGCCCCTAAAATTCGTGTGCGTTGTAGACACGCTTCATCAATTATTAAGATGAGTAATAAAAAATGGTTAATGAAATCGTACCGTACCGACGGAATTGTTGTTTTCCAGAAGGTTTTTCCCATGCATCGGTTTTTGGTAAACCGGTACACTGTATTTCACGGTACTAACTGTTGAACTCTGGTTAAGCCATAATTTTTCCGTAAAAGACCCTACGACTGACTTTTCCAGTAAGATGTTTATTACGGTATCATGAACCAAACACCAAAGATAAAAAAAAAAATTTAACAAATGCACATTAAAAAAGTTGGAAATATATACACTAAATGACCATGTTAAGAGAAGAACCCTTGATAGTGTTGTGAGTGTCTTGGTTTGAGATTCTGAACCAACATATAGACAACAACCACTTCAAGGATTAGTGATTGATACATATTGTATAATATACTAAATTTGAGTGTCTTGATAGACAAATTTGACATAAATTCCTCAACTAAGACTTCATGAACATTCACATGAAAATGAGTCATGATTAGATAATATGATCATCGTAAGGGGTACAGTATGTGTTAAGTTTCACTTGGAAAAAACAAAAATTATCCATTAATTAAGCATCTTTATCTAATAAATTGAACTCTCGATAATTGGTTTAGAGTTTGTCCTGACTCGATAATCACGAATTGTTATATGTAGTTTAATATAATAAATTTGAGTGTCTTGGTTTGACAAATCTTGATATGCTATCCTAAATGGGATGTGATAAATCTTTACGATATAATTTTGGACTTTGCTAAGGTGACATGCATGTCACGGTGACATGCACTTTTCGGTCGACCTCATATAGGAGCAGGTCGACCTAATATGTTGTTTCAGTGTAAAAACAGTTTCATGGTGCCTACTTTAGAGATTCATATCTTACAATTGGCTAGATGGAAATTGGAGATTAAAGGCTTGTTTTGAAGCTGAAGTGTCCCTCTACACATTAAAGTACTTGGGAGCTCAATAGAAAGTCCAGAAGACCATTTTTGAACCTGACAAAAAGGCTATGCCAAAACTGGGAAACTGCCTGAAAATGGCTAAGTTTGGCAACGTGTTTGTCAAGCCTACTTTGGAGCTCAATTTGAGAAGCATGGATGCGGTCAAGTCCAGGGGCCTCTACCACGTTAAATTACGTATTTTTTTATACAAAGGCAAGGAATTGGATGAAAGATTGAATATCTTTAAGGCTTCAAACAAAATGCTCAAAGTTGCTACGAAGGCTGTTTTTCTGGCAGCTTGCTTGTGCTCGAAGTCTGCCAGAAAAACAGCCTTCGTAGCAACTTCGACCCTTTTGTTTGAAGTCTTACAGATATCCAATCTTTCATCCAATGCCTTGAATTTGTATAAAAACATACCTAATTTAACGTGGTAGAGGCTCCTAGACTCGACTCTCATTCATGCTTCTCGAATTGAGCTCCAAAATAGGCTTCACAAACACGTTTCCAGACTTAGCCATTTCCAGACAGTTTCCCAGTTTTGGCATAGCCTTTTGATGAGGTTCAAAAATGATCTTATGGACTTCCTATCAAGCTCTCAATCACTTCAATATGTAGAGGGACACTCCAGCTTCAAAACAAGTCATTAGTCTTCAATTTCCATCTAGCCAATTGTATGATATGAATATCCAAAGTAGGCACCATGAACTGTTTTTACACTAAAACAACAGATTAGGTCGACCTGATCCTATATGAGGTCGACCGAATCCTAAATGAGGTCGACCAGATCCTATATGAGGTCGACCGAATTCTAAATAAGGTCGACCTAATCCTAACTGAGGTCAACCGGAAAGTGCAAGTCACCGTGACATGCATGTCACCGTAGGCATTTTTGTTAGAAAAAAAAAATAGAATCATAAGTGAGTATGCTAAGTATTGAGAATTTTTAATATAGGCATATCACGTACTCGCTAATAAAGTGAGAGTATAAAAATGTAAGTGATTCAAAAAAAATTAACATATAAATAAATCAATTGGTATAAATGATAATGAAACTCTCCGGCCAACAGGCCGGATAAGAAACTAGTATTAGAAATGTCCTTGTCAAACAAATAAACATACAATCTCTTAACTCTATTGTAATTAGCAAGAACAATGTGAGCCTTTGATTGAAAACGAAGGCATGATTAATGATTAAAAAAGTATAATAAAGCTAGTTAATGAGTCTAAAACATCATTATCAGCTTCAGGTAAACCCCATGTGCTGTCCACTTAAGTCTCAACACGACAACACCACTCAATCAATTTTATCTCCCTTTTTATGTCTTTTTTTAGGGTGGAAATTGTGTGTATACAATGTGTCTTTTGGAGAAAGAAGCATTTTCTGTCTTCAGTGCTCCACTAGACAACTACTACTAGTAGTACTATTCTCACTAGTCACTGCTCGCTCGGTGGAGCATTTCCCCTCCATCTATGGCTTGCTAGTTGCTAGCCCTTGGCATGTTGAGCGATTGGCAAGTCATCTCAACGAAAATATTAACCCTATTATAAATGCCAAGTGAACACTAATGAGTGGACAATAACAACAACAATTACTATATTAGTTAGAATGAGAAATAGTGTCAAGAGAAAGATAAAAACATATTGTGTCAAGAGAAAGATAAAAACATATTGTGTCAAGAGCTAATAAGTTTTAATAATTTGAATTGTTGAAAATAATTTGTAAGAAAAAGATTCCAGAGCATTCGAAATAATCGCTACAAGATAGAAGAGAAACGAGAGAAATTTTATGGTTAAATGACACATTTGGTCACTGGGATTACTAAATCGTGTTATGTTTAGTCACTAGAAAAATTAATATCAATTTTGGTCACTCGAATTACTAAAACAGGCCAGGTCACATTTAGTCACTCTCTCGTTAGCCTCCGTCCAACTACGGTCACTTGAATTACTTTTTTTTTATTTTTTTATGAATGTCACTCGAATTACTGAAACATGTCACATTTAGTTACTCTCTGTTAGCCTCCGCCCAACTCCATCAATGGAGTTGGACGAGAACTAACGGGAGAGTGACTAAATGTGACGTGTTTCAGTAATTTGAGTGACTAAAATTGATATTAATTTTTTATAGTGATTAAACATGACATGATTTAGTAATCTCAATAGCAAAATGTGGCATTTACCCGAAATTTTATAGAATCAGGAATTTGAACTAGAATTTGGGGAAGAAGAGAAAGATAAACTGATAGAAAACAACAGGGCAAAAACAGGCTGATCAATTAGCTGCAGCCATTACGGGCCAGAAGCCCTAAGAGATGAATTGGCGGTCGATCGGGCCTATGAAACAGTTCGTCCCCAGCCAGTTTCAAGGTGAGCGAAAGCGTGAGCCGTTACAGTTCCTTCTCCGCGAATGAAACTCCAACCCGTAACCATTAACCAAACCAGCTCTTCCCTGCAACCTTACCTTCTCACAGAGGAAATCCAATCCCCTCCGATCATCATCAATCTTCGACAGTTTCTAAATCAGTGGTAAGCAATCATACTCCACCAACAACGGCGAGAAACCACTGATTAAGTGCTTCTTCGATTCCGAGCCACAGCTCTAGCTTCGGCCATCTCCACTCGGCGCAACCCTTTCTCCCTTCGTTGCAGACAGAGCTGCAAAAGCTCCCATTCTTGCGACGAGTAACAAGCTGCCCAGAACGCGCAGATCTGTTGTTGTGGCTAACAACAAAAATAGATTGTACCCCATAAAAAGAGGGACGCCTAGCCGGTGACGATAGAATTGGACAAAAGCCAGCATCAACTGGTCTATTATTGCTGACAAGCATGGCCTGGACAGGCATATGTTTCCAACAGATTGCGTAAATTTTCAAAAAAAAAAAAAAAAAAAAACCAGACGCCAAGTTAAGAAAGACCGCAGCCAAACTGTTGTAGAGTGTAGAGTATGCTTGGTTTTTACTTATCGACTAACCAGAGGCCAGAGCTCACTGGGGGTGCCACTTCTCAAACTGGGATTCATGGCAATGCGGGTCCAGCCATTCCTTCGGAGTAGAGTTCTTCTGCTGCATCTTGGTGCCTGTTTTCCCTCCACCACCACCAACTAGTTCCCGGAGATTCTCCAACTTGTTCTCCCGCCCTGTTCCGCTGATCCTCTTATCAGCGTCCTTCAGCTTCTGCTTAAACCTTTGTTTGCGGCTGGATGCGTTCACTTCTTGCTGCTGCTTTGCTTGTGAAGGTGGTGCACCGTGTGGGCCTAAGTAAATCTGTTCTTCCTTCTGACCCTGCACTTGCGGGATAATACAATGGTGATTATACAGACACAAGAATAAGAGAGAGGCTATTCTATAATCCAAACTCCTTCAATGAATAGGGGTGATGAAAAACTTACCTTTGGCGAAGGAGGTTTTGAGACTTCTACTTCTAAATCATTCTGTGTAGTTTGATCTCTGCTCTCTATTCCCAAGCTTGGAATTACGAATCCATCCGTGTCTTAAACATAATGAAAGTGCAAAAAAGTGTGAGCATGAGTTTCCAAAATGAAAGCTTGCTTAAGAAGTATGAAACAAAACAAAATCGTGTTATAAGAATTGAGCACATCCACAGAATCAAGTGCTAAGTTTGTATAGAAGCATGAAGTGAAAGAGATTGTATGCCTAGCATCCCTCTCCAGGAATGAGAGATAAAAATCATCCAAGCAACACAAGGGCTTTAACTACGCGGAAGTCATTACCATACAAATTGCTTTACAGTGCAATAGCTGGCAACAGGAAGGATACATATAACATGCTAACATGAAAAAATTGTAGTATATAGGCGGCAAACACCTACAGAATGATGTGAAGAGAAGCAATCCATATAACACTGGTATAACACCCACATGCCTTCTATATCAAAGAGAACTTTTATACTGCTGCCTGATGGAAAGTTGGTCGCCACTTCTTGATTTATGATGATCTATTTACCTTGCTTTAGAACATTTAAACACCTTCCTGACCAACCTTAAATATGATATAAAAGAACATGAAGTCTAAGTTTGCATCCAGACATGCTGTACATTTATAAGAAAATTCCAAATCGTCTATCTTTCTCTCAAACAAATGCACAAGTGCTCTATTTGTCGAGACACAACTAATAGGGAAGGAGCTGACATTGCAGTCAAATTAACATAATCAGGTCAAAACCTTCAGGTTGTGAAACTTATAGTAGTTACATTGTGGGCAGGGAAGATCAAAGAAATAGACTTAGAGATCAGAACAATATACTCGTATGGAGTTCAAAAGGTAACATGAAATCCTGAATAAGACCCAGTCAAGGAACTTGGAAGGATTAAGAAAATACTCTTAGGACGAATGAAAAGCTATTAACTTCCACTTCGCCTGATGTGGATGGAGCTGGGAGTACTAAACCCGGTAATCTAGGATAGAATTGTTTACTCCTCTCCTTAAAAGCTTATCTTAGGTCAAACTTACCAATGTCAACTTGTTTGCCAAGTATCTTCAACCACTAGTGGGTCAACCTACTACCTTAAATCCTTCACCACAAACGATTCCCCACATTAGCCAGGAAATCGCCAGGAATAGCGTTCCACCTTTTCAGAGAATAATCAGTTATGACTATCCACTCAAGCAAAGATCGGCACAATGTACTAATTGTATTTTTGACAACAATGCAACCTATCAACTTCAAAAGCAGGGCAGTGATTTCAAACTTCATCCCTCTTTCTTAATCTTAACAACATCAGGAACCATTAACTGGAACCAAACCAGGGCAACTACCTAAGGCATAGCTGAAAAAGTTTAATCAGAACATTCGAGAGCAATACGAAATCGAATAATACTGAACCAACATGCTCCACTACTACAAATATATAGTATCTATTAATCAACCAATGCAGGTAAAACACATGTTGCGATCAGCAAAAATTCAACACAATCAAGCAGCTTCGAGACACCATAGAAGAACTCAAGTCGTTCAATATTCGTCGGATCCAATACAAGCACATCGTGGAAGCAAACCCCCCTGCAGTTTCATCCAGTGGAGAAAAGGGAAGGAAGGAAAATAGCATATACCCCATTCATCTTCTTCATCATTGATCGGAGGATGAGTGAGCTGTTGAGAGGGGTCCATAGGGCGCTGCCGATCATGGATTTCAACGGCCAGCGGGCGGTGAAGCCCAGAAAATTCTTCCGAATGATGATAATTACGCACGTCGTCTCCCAGCCGCCGAATTTGCTTCTAGCGGGAAGGCAAAAGGGAGAAAAGGACCTGAAGACCTCCCCAAATCCCAGATATGGAGTCCTTTTTTCTCTTTTGCGATTCTTAATGCCTACTATGATTCGGTAACCCTAACCCTAGGACTAGAAACGTTTAATGATTTCTTTTCCGTAAGGCGGATCTGATAAACCGAAGAGAAAATTGGTTGTGACTGGGATTTTATATTCGATTCAATCCGGCAGTACGCTAGCGCGAAGATTCGGATTTGGGACAGGGGATATGTACAAGGAACGGTGAAACGGTAGTAAATACAAAAAAATATATTGAAAGTGTTATGATGGGTCTATTCCCAACATATTCTTTTTTTTGAATCGCTAAATGTCGCCCTTAAAATTGCTAACGGTCGCCCTAATTCTAATGATAAATGACTTATATACCCCAATAAAATTTCAAAATTTAAACAAACCAAACAATCCCTAACCCCTCAAACTGAACCTCTCATCTGCCTTCTTCGCGAATCCCTCTCGACGCACCAGTTCGTCGGCGTCTTTCCGCCGCCGTCGTCGCCCGTTCTCTAATGAAATTTCCAAAAAAACGTTCAACCTAATGCAAGTTACGGTTGGTCCATGGTGCAACCGCAACTCACTTGCGGTTGGTCCATGGTGCAACCGCAAGTGAGCTGCGGTTGGCCCATAGTGGAACCGCAAGTGAGCTGCGGTTGCACCATGGACCAACCGCAACTCATTTGCGGTTGCACCACGGACCAACCGCAAGTGAGCTGCGGTTGGCCCATGGTGCAACCGCAAATGAGCTACGGTTCCCTTTTTTTATTTTTTTTTATTTTTTGAGTGAACTTTACCAATTCAGAGTCGCTAGTCATGCTCCAGACATCATATCGACGATTCCAACTCCAGAATGACGATGATGGATTCTCTCTTTTGAATAATATTTTATTTTCTTTACTAAGTTGTGTTTGTTTGCTAAAGGAAGAGTAAAGAAGCTAAAAGGTTAAATTTGTAACTTTGATGTTTTTTAGGGCGACATTTAGCAATTTTAAGGGCGACCTTTAGCAACTCTCTTGTTTTTTATTTATTGATCATTAATATTAATATGACGGTTTTAAAAGTATTGACATAAATATTGTGTTTTGCTTGCAAAGCGAGACCGCTCAAAACTTAGGCGGAACTGCTTTTTAAACTTTTTAATATGAAATGGGCGGATCCGCCTGAGACTCTGGCGGACGCGCCCTCCCCTCTTTTTTTATTCCCTGTTAGAGTTAGTCAATAGAGTTGTAATACCACATTGATGGGAGAAGGAAAGTTTAAGAATTGAGTCTTTTGGCAGTTTAATTAATTAATTAATTTTTATATTAATTAATTAACATTTGAATATTATGAAAGGATGTGTCCTTTCGGGAGAGGTAACTACCTTTTCTGTGAAAGGATGTGTCCTTTCGGGAAAGTAACTTCCAAATTTCACAACTATAAATATGTGATTGCCATAACTCTTTTTAAGATGCGAGATTACTTCTTCTTCCGGTTTTCCTTCTCTATTTCACAAATACAGAAGTCTGCAAGATTGCTGCTTCCAGACTTAAAATTGAAGGGACTCCTGGGGGTGGTTTGCTCGAGCCTACCAACAATTTGTAGAGGGGGCAAATAACACTCTAAGGAGAGTGATTAATCACGCCTTCAATCCGATTCTTTCCTACCAGTTTCCTGACAATCTTAGAGTGTTATTTGTAGAAAAATGGATTCTGGAGTGGAGAGTAAATTGAAGGCTTATGCTATTCACAAATGGATTTCGAATCATAGATTCGTGCGTGTTGTATTCAATATCATATCAGTCATCATTGTCCTTTATTGTGGTTGGTTCCGAAGAGGAGAAGAGGAAATGTGGCACTCGAGTCTCGACGGTCATTGGGAAAGGTAAGACTCTTGCCCCTGTTTTCTTTTGTTGCCATTCTGGTCAATTTAATTACCATGCAAATGTTTCTGGAAAGCAACTGTCATCACGCAATGCAATTTGTGCCTTTCATGCATGGATAAAGTGCTTTAATTTTATCGTATGTTTGTGTGGGGGAATGAAAATATATATATAGTGGTTGTCTCTCATTTTAAGGTTTATACTCGGATTTGGTTCTCCAAATGAAATATATGAGTATAACAATTTAATTGTATGATTACGTTCATACATGTTACTGTTAAGAGTTGATAAAGCAATCTAAATATTATATATAAGGTTGGCAGGTTGTTTTATATACATATATTTCTTCTGTTTCTACGATTGAAGCAAAGAAAGAGAGAATGGCGTTATTAATTAACCAAGGCAATGTGACGTGTGATGATGGTATATTAAGCCTTGTTAATTAGTTCAATGCTTGAATGCAACGTCTGCTTTTGAATCACTGTGCATGGTAATTGGTGTTTCCGTGTTTATGATGTAACATGGTTTGGCACAGATGAAGATTGATTGAGAATCAATTTGGTGATCATGAAACCCATTTGGTTTGGTTAAATGATATCAAATACTTGTGTAGTATTTGAGATGGGAATGAATTCATAATACATATAATTATGAGAAGAGTTCAAGATAATTCAATTGTGTTTGAAATTTGGAAGAATTCACATTGAATTATTGAACAAATTTTATCACCAAAATTTGTATGCATTTCAATTTTTATCCTTGCAAGATGAAACAATTTGGTTTATGTAACAAAATTGTTTGAGTTGTGATCTTGAAGTAAATTGGAATAATGGTGAAATATGTCCCTCGACATGGTAATTTGTTTATCATGTATTGGTTTATGATGTCATGTTTCATATGCCATGAGGGAAAGGTAAAATGAAACTAAGATGGGTCCTTATAGAGATTGAATAAGCTTGCAAAAGAATGATGATTATCAAACTAATCATTGCCAAAATTGTTTATGCTATATATAGACATATCCCATTGACAAACAATTTGGCTTGAGAACTAATTGAGATGATCTTATTGAACTTAAATTCTGAATTACTTATGGTATATGTGTGAATTTATACCATTGGAAAGTAATTAGAAGATTGAATTAGAATATTCATTTGAATTGCTTGTGGTTTGTCAAGTTACCTTCGTGAAATGTCATTGGTAAGTAATTAGATGGTATTACCAATACAATCTGGATATGCAACTGAATTACTTGTGGCATCTCAAGTTACCTTGACCAATTCCATTGGTAAATAATTAGATGATATTTTCAATAATATCTGAATTGTTTGTGGTATACTAATCTAATTAGTTCATATCATTGGTAAACCATTAGATCAATGTAGTGGTTGAAAGTTCAATAAGTAAAACCATGGAAAATAAAATGGAATTATTCCATGATAGTTCGGCAAGTGGAAGAATTGTGGGGGAGATGGTTTTGATGCTAGTTGGATAGCAAGTTCTAGTGATAATAAATCTACAACTGGTGGATTTTACACTAGGTGATGGAGTTGTTTCTTGGGTTTTGAAGAAACAAAAGTGTGTTACACACTCCACTATGGAAGATGAATTTCTAGCTCTTCTGGCGGCTGGAAAAGAGGCAGATGGCTAAGACATGGTTACGTTAGATATTTGATTATTAATGTAATCATTTCTATTGTGTATGTAAGATCAAGCAATAATTTGGCAGATCCTCTTGCCAAGGGATTGCCAAGAGGCATGATCTATGAGACATCCCAAGGTTAGGGATTGGGACCTCTTGTGTAGTTAGAAGTAATGGGAACCCAACCTTTTCTTTAGGTATTCACTAATTAAAATGTTCAATGTGGTAATAACAAGTTACTCTAACTGAGGTACTATTTTATTGTACAAGTAAATTAGTCCAAAGAAGGGTGAGTTATAGAACTCTTGAGATGACTTATAGAACTCTTAATGAATTCATTTGGAATGTCACCTATGTGAGCATTAAGAGTGGTGCCGCTTTAACAAAAGTAGAGGTCAACTTTTGTGAATGCTCATGAAACAGGATCAACACATGGCATAATAGTGCTACCCTAGTTGGTGGTTGTGGTTTAGAGAAGAGACAAGTACGTGTGTGGCATCTCCGGTTATAGTTTTGGATCGTGACTCCTAGGCTTAAGCCCGTCACTGATTCGTTATCAACTTTGAGTTGCTTACACTAGGTAAAGGTTCAAATCGAAAAAATACCTTTATGTATGCGTTACTTGTTCGAGGCAGGTATTCTCAACTCTTGTTGACTAAGTGGGAGATTGTTAGAGTTAGTCAATAGAGTTGTAATACCACATTGATGGGAGAAGGAAAGTTTAAGAATTGAGTCTTTTGGCAGTTTAATTAATTAATTTTTAAATTAATTAATTAACGTTTGAATATTATGAAAGGATGTGTCCTTTCGGGAAAGTAACTTCCAAATTTCACAACTATAAATATGTGATTGCCATAACTCTTTTTAAGACGCGAGATTACTTCTTCTTCCGGTTTTCCTTCTCTATTTCACAAACACAGAAGTCTGCAAGATTGCTGCTTCCAGACTTAAAATTGAAGGGACTCCTGGGGGTGGTTTGCTCGAGCCTACCAGCAATTTGTAGTGGGGGCAAATAACACTCTAAGGAGAGTGATTAATCATGCCTTCAATCCGATTCTTTCCTACCAGTTTCTTGACATTCCCCTCATTCGTCGCGCCCCTTATCATCTTATCTTCTTCTTCTCCAAACCAACCACCACCACTTTTCTAACAAGCTCTTTGCTTGAGAAAGTTTTTCCCAGCCCTTTGAGGCGATTAACCAAGATGGAAAATCTCTTATCCATATCAAAAATAGATTCACCAGAGACCATATCAAAGGTTTCATATTCTTTTAAAAGCATATCTATTCTGGTTTCTTTAACTTCTGAGGTTCCTTCATGAGCAGTTTCACGAATCAACCAAATTTCTTTAGCAGTTTCACATTTATTCACTCTTTCTCCTTCGCCGTCAGAGATTGCAGACAGTAAAATATGCATAGCCCTAGTGTCTAGTTGGGCACTTTTCTTTTGATCATCAGACCATTCCTCCTCGTCATCTTCCTTCATGTCAATTGGTCCATTACGGACAATTGCCCATAATTCACAGTCGATTCCTCGGAGGTAA